TCTTCCATTTGTAGTCTGGGTGCCGAGCGCCAAATAGGATGTCGACATTGGTTCTTCGTTGATGATGATGACACTATTCGAACATTGTCCCTTGTGGGCTTTTGCTGTGCTCTTCTTTGGTGGGACTCGTGTTGCAATTCGGCTTTTCGTTCGAGGTCACGACTGTCTGGGCTCATGTGTCTGCTGCTGCTTGGCTTCTGAAGTTCGCTATTGCTCATTTTCCTTGAAAAAGGAACAAAGGGCTAAGAAAGGGCCTGGCTCCCGGACATCTACGTCAACAGATGGACGCAGCGGAGATGGAATGCACAATGTGCCATTATGGAAGCCCTGCCATACCAGAAGCAGGCGGGTTTACTATGACAAATTTACCACCTGGCAATCCCAACAGCGCAATGGCTAGCCACAAAAAGTCAACGTAAGGATCAGACATGTGCATGTGCTGCAGGATGCGGCCAGGTAGCGTGAGCTGTTATTAACACATTATAAAGTCGATGATTTCCACCAAGAATTTGATTTTCTGGCTGTGCTAATTCCATGTGAATTAGTACAGAGAAGCATGTGCCCATTACTCCAGCAATTGCACCAAAGATTAGATATAAAGTACCTATATCTGTCATCCTTTTGCGCGATGCCCGGAGGTCCGGCCATTCTGGCAATGGTGGGCACAGGAAGTTGCAGATGGGCCGTCCATAAATGTTGATGAGACAGATGATGCAGAGATCCTCTGGGGAACCTTGATAAAGGTCAACAAATTCGCCTTTGGGGGATTGATGGCGGAGGAGATTGTGTGTGAGAGCTGCGGTGCTATGGGCCTTGTGGACGTTGAGAAACGATCAGGAACGTGCCTTAGAGAACATCAGAATTGCCCTGTTGGCAGATCTACATCGGTGCTGACGCACAGGGGAGAGGGAGGCCGGGCCTAGGGAAAGATGGAGACCGTATCCGCAGTTCCCGACTAGGAATCCACACACAGGCCAACTGCAGTATGGCCCCATCTTGGCACGTTATGTTCCTCAGCCGGAGACCGAGGATGAAGAGGAATAGGGTACAGCGCCGGCAGATTGAAACGGATTCCAGTTTTGAAACATATGGGACGTAGAGAGAGAGGGGGGATGGGTGGGATTGTAGATATACCATACTTACGATAGGAGGATTCCTAGTCGAAGGAGGAGGATACCATACTTGGGATAGAAGGGGCAAGATAAGGGGAAGTTGAAGAAGATAGGGGTTGGGCGATAAGGAGGCGAGTTTCACAGAAAAGGCGGGACAAGATTTCGGACAAGGTGTGAAAATTGGAAAAATTGGGGCAACTTGAAAATAGAGACAGGATACTGTATGAGAGGATGGTAAATGGGCAAGGGAGGAGGGATGGTAGCAGGTGGCAAGTACGATATAAGCAAAGGAAATGTGAGCGTAGGTGATCTGAGTAGGATAGTATCAAGAAATATGGGAGAACAAGTAAAACTGACAAGGAGAGCATAACTGTATAGACTACGATATTCAAAATTTTTGGATTCATTTTCGGGAGCATGACTATAGATAGAGACCGGTGTTATAGGAACACAAGTCTGTTTGGCTTTATCCGAGAGGATTTGGTTTAGACTCTAGAGGAGAAGACACGCGGCCAGCGAAGGCTGCTAGGCTCTCCCCCCCCCCCCCCGCCCCGCCACCCCTGGGACCCTTCTGCTGCGTGTCTGGGTGGTGCTATTAAGCTTCCCGGGCAGCATCCCAGAGGAGGCTATGGTTTGGGAGATGGGATGGCCTGTAGCAGTCCCCCCTTTCGACATGCGACTAGTACCGCAAGGGCCTGGCTGGTTTCTATCCCTGCTACTATCTCACCTTGAACTCAATGCTTGCCGGTGACAAGCAACTAGACTGATGCCCCCCAGAATACATGGCCCCTTGTGTCGTTAAAAAAAAAAAAAAAAAACGACTTATGCCCCCCAGAATAGATGGGTCCTTGTGTGGTTAAAAAAATAAAAATAAAAAAATAAAATTAAAGAAGGGAATTACAGAAGGGAAAAAAAGTAAAGACGTCAAAAAGGTTTTGGGGGGGGTAGGGTGGAGGCTCCGAACACACACACACACACACGGGTTGTGCATCCCTGTGTGTGGTTTAAATTTCCACCACAACAGCCCCTATTCCACCCAGACAAGTAGTTTTCCTCTTTTTTTTTTTTTTTTTTTTTTTAACTGATCAGAACAGATACTACACTTGATCTTAGCCAAAAGGCCGAGAAACGTATGAGCCAGCCCAACAATTAAAAATTCACCTCTTTAGCAAGCATCATGAATCATAATAGAACCATGTACAAGTTAGATCAGTGTTTCGTTGAGGTTTCTTTGGGGCAACAGCCCCACCGCAAGAGCTTTTTTGTGCAAATAACACGTGTGCACACGAACCTAAGCACCCAACAACAAATCGAACCAACATGACACCACGGGAAATCATTCTTCCGTATCAATCCCCACTCTGCATAACTCTCTCGATTGTGAAGTTTTACAGATCCTCAACAATGGTACTTCTACATCAGCTTCAACTATGTATGCAGCCAACGCCAATAGTTTTCTCCTCCTCCTCCTCCTCCTCTCTCTCTCTCTCTCTCTGTGTGTGTCTCTGTGTGTGCGTGTGTGTGTGTGTGTGTGTGTGTGTGTGGGTGTGTTTGTTGTTGTTGTTGTTGTTGTTGTTGCTCTAACATATTTGATCCATAAAAGGGTGGAGGGCAAGAAGCAACTTTGCTAAGACAAAGGACTCCACCAGCAAGAAAGCACCGACCCCATTCGCCATTCGCCATAGGCCCGGACAAGCTTGGAGAGCGCTCCACGAGTCCACGTCGGCCCACAAAACCACGTGTGCATGTTTGTGTGTGTGGGTGTGCACGTGCGCACACTCCCAGCTGCAGCGTACACAAACTTGGCTGCAAAGCCCCTTTAATTCTCAGAGCATCAGACAAACACCCAAAGCCCTATCGAACTCGCGAAGCCATTCTCTCTGAAATTCTTCTACATAGCACGCTTCAGAGGATCAAACAAACACCCAAGGCCCTACTCCAACTCATGTAGGCATTATCTCTGAAATTCTTCTACGTGGCACACTTCAGAGCACCAAACAAACACCTAAAGCCCTATCCAACTCATGTAGCCATTATCTCTGAGTTTCTCCTACGTAGCACACTTCCATTCACTACTGCGCAACGACCATCATGGATCAAGCCCGTAGAAACTTAATGAGCCCATATAAACTAAATGAGCCCATAGAAACTAAATGAGCTGTTACACCCCACAGACTACCTACCTTTCTCCACCTTTATTTCAGCTATTACTCCTCTGCTTGAAAACTTCACTTCTCCACAGTTCACAAACCCCACGAAGCGTTCTCTCTCTCTCTCTCTCTCTCTCTCTCTCTCTCTCTGTGTGTGTGTGTGTGTGTGTGTGTGTGTGTGTGTGTGTGTGTGCGTGCGTGCGTGCGTGTGTGTGCGTGTGTGTGTCTCCGTCCCACACACACACACACACAAAGAGGGCTGCTGCACATCCCCAGACCCCTTCCACACAAGCCAGTGTCCCTGACTTGACACATGTCAATAACATGCAGTATGCTACCTCTTTTCCAGGCCAGTGACCTGCAATGCATGAAAAATACCTACCGGAGGGGAGATGATACCGAACGATGTTCACAAGTGCAGCTACAGCAACTTTTTGGCGTGCACCAAACATCCTCAACAGGCTTCTTTTCTCCTAACAAATTGCACAGTCGGAAGGATCTTCAGAGCACATCTACAAAGGTACTCGATACTACTAATTCATCCTTCGGAATCTTCGCTCAATTTGTGAAGCGTGCGCGCGCACACACACACACACACACACACACACACAGAGACAACACACACACACACACACACACACACACACACACACACACACACACACACACACACACACACACACACCTGTCTCTTATACACATCTAGATGTGTATAAGAGACAGGAAGGATCTTCAGAGCACATCTACAAAGGTACTCGATACTACTAATTCATCCTTCGGAATCTTCGCTCAATTTGTGAAGCGTGCGCGCGCACACACACACACACACACACACACACACAGAGACCACACACACACACACACACACACACACACACACACACACACACACACACACACACACACACACACACAGACAACACACACACACACACACACACACACACACACACACACAGGGTTCTTCAGCATCCTGCTGTCTACCATCATTTCTCATGCTCTTCCTGCTGCCTCCTCCTTGTTACAAATGAACAAAGTTGTACTCTTCCCAAACATCGTCTCCTCACACGTCTCCTCCCTCCATGTGCTTGACACGCTTTACAAAATAGCCCAATCGACTTGAGACCCACCTGCTGCACTGGGGCCGACATCATCTTCATCATCCAGATAAACCAACATATACAGCTGACGATCTCAAACCGTCAGTGTGCCTAAATCTTTTTTTTTTTTTTTTTTTTTTTTTTTTTTTTTTGGGGGGGGGGGACAAAAGCTCATCGTGCCCAAATCTATGTCACGGAACCGAGAATTTTCCCCACGCAATACGTAATGAATTGGCTGCAGTCTGGCCGGTACATCGAGAGTGTTCACTTCGTGGCAAGGCCGCAGAATTCCGCAGAAGGGCGCATGCACTGGGGGTTTACACCTCCCAGAATATCAGACCTCTCTCCAAATGCAGGTGCTCAAACGGGTGACCATAGCCGCCAAGGCTGCACAAAGGATCCATTAAGAAGAAGAAAAAGGGCGACCCATCGAAGCATCATACCCTCCGCAACTCTAAACTGGCTGGCTAGATTCGTCACAAGCATGGAGCAGAGCAGTTCGATGCGCAGGCTTCTGAATTGTACACCCCTTATATGCACCCAGTTCAACTTTTCAAACGCATTCAGAGCCCCACAGTGGACGGGACGAAGGAAGGGTCCCCAAGTACTGGTGGTTTACGTTGGTAGTCGTATACGAGGCATTCAATCGCCTTTCATTGTGAGTTCGGTCCTGCAATTCTTTGGTTCCCGGTGTTAACCGTTGAGATGTATGTCATCTCAGACATGGCACCGTGATGCCTACCGCTCGATACAGCTTGCCTGACGAGTTTCACATTGGCGCACCGGACATGTATTCGCAGGACGAGAACAATAGTACCAGACGAGTTTCGATTTGGCGTACGGGACCGGGATTCGCAGAGCTAGGGTTTGCCAGACAAACTACTAATATGCACAACAACACTCACCGTTTGCACGATCACCTACACAATTGTACCCAGGTACTACACACCACCCTTCCCCCCCCCCCCCCCCCCCGGTCTTTTAAACATGCACCCCTTAATTTCTGTCGTTGGCTATGTAGAACATCGACCGAACACCTGCGCACCTGCTGTCTGCAGCTCCTCCATAGCGTTTGCTAGACTACAGAAATAGCGCACACAATACTCACCGTTTGGAGGATCACATACACAACAGAACACAGGTAGTACCACCCCAACTAAAATGGATGATTGGGTGCAGCGCGCTCTGTTTGGGAGAAGACTGTCGTCACCAATTCAACTCTGTGATTGTGGGCATATTATCGAACTATGATTCGTTCGTAGGAAGACTGTGGTCAGCGAAAACTGCCCCAACTACAGTTCTATATACTGAAACATGGCCTCCTTCCTGGTGCTCAATAGTCGTTAACTTGTCGCTGTTGTCACGGTGATTGAGCAGAACCTGACTGTCACGTGCGCCTACGAGGAGGATCCATGCCAAAGAGCCTGCTGCTGACACTGCACCCTTTTGACTGTCCCGGCCAGGCCTGTGCCTGCTGACGCTGCATCCTTTGATCGTCCCGGCCGGGCCTGTAATCTCTGCCACAGAGAGAAAAATCCATGCCAAAGGGACTGCTGTGTACTTGACATGCTTCGTTATCACGCATGCAGATTGCTCGCCGCTCGCCGCTCACAGATTCCCCCCTCCAAACACTCTCAAATGAAAGCCGGAACCGATAGCATAGGGCCTTGCTCCACTACACAACACTCTCGTCCGAATGAACCTGGTCCAGAGAGCGTCCAAATGCATGTACAGTGTTGTGTACCGCAGCGAAGCGCATACTCCCGTCATACAAACACTGATGCCAGAGAAACATAATGAAGTAGTGCGCCTGCAGCTTCTGGGGCAGGTAAAGTAACATCTTCGCTTGACATGGCCTTGGACGCACAATGTTCGTCGATTCCTAGCTGTAGCGAAAGTCAGGACGCATTCGCCAGTTTATTGCTGTTGCATTGTTGCAACGATCATGAAGCATTCGCAGGTTCGTCGCCGTTGTGATAGCTATGTGGTAAAGGCCGGTTTAACGATGTTGCATCAGTTATGAAGGAATCGTCGGTTCTCGCTGTTGCAATGGTGATGAAGTAGAGTGTGACCTCTGTTTAGTCATACATGCCCCAAGCAGCAGCTGAGCATTAAACCACCCCTACCTCGGACTCCTCGTTTGGCCGAGATGGATTCCCCCTTTATGCCAAAGAGAAACGAACCGCCAGAACGACATTTTTCTTTCGGCAGGCACCGCTCGCCAGTCATCTTGCTCCAGTAGCATTATCGATCTGCCGAGCCCGGATGGTCACATGGTTCGATTTTCGACTTTGCCTGGAAAAGGTGGTGGTGGCGAGATGGTGGTTTAAGCAAAAACCTGTTAAGCGTGCACGTCGACAGACCTAGGAGGACGATCCATCACACTGAGCATGCTGGCGCCACTGGCCGTGATGAAGCGGAAGCTGTGGACGCTGCTGCTGCTGCCCCTCCCGCGGAGAACCGAAATCTTTCTGAGGCGTGGATACAACCAAATTTCTGAAGCTGTTTTGACTAGATACATCAGAATCGGGAAGAGCTGCGCCGGTTTTGCCTGCCAAGTTCTGCTGCTGTTGGGGCTGGTCCCGCTGCCGCGTTTTTTGAGGCGAAGGCGCGCTGGTTCCTGGGGGCTTGATCGCAGCCTCGCTCGGCTCAGTCACCTGTGACAGTCCTGCCGCAATAACCACCACTTGAACCTGTCCAAAAACAAGGAAGCGACATAAGCTGATAATAATCATAATATTGAAAATTAAGAGTTAAAATTTTAAACCCCGTAACCTGTGGGATGGGGACAGTCTTAGGCCAGGCATATTCGCACCCCTAAAGACTTTTCCAAACGTATCTGACCCTAAAGAGGGCCACAATTAGCCAAGCACCCCCCTACTCCTTTTTTTCCCTTTATTAAATTATTAATCCTTTTTCAAAAGGGTGCCGGTGTCATTGAAGTTGATTGAACTGACCGGTTCAAGCCAATTAGAGCTATTTTATTTTGTTCGGCGGATTGCATCTGGATTAATTACCGAGCCGCCCCCGTTGATCGTAATCGCTTTCAGCACTGCCCCTTTTCTTTGTGCTCTCCTTTTTTTTTTCTCTTTCATGTGTGTGTTATCAGATCCGCTGCACAATAAAAAAAAAGGAACGACTTATCAGATCCGTTGGATTAACTCTTTCATCGGACTTTCACCAACTCATCAGGGGTTGAACCTGGACAGACAATCTGCCCAGGATGCATTAGGCATGACTGTGCCAGACTCTTTTGTTGGACTTTCACCAACTCATCAGGAGGTTGAACCTGGACAGACTGTCTGCCCAGGATGCCTTAGGCATGACCGCGAACCTGGACAGACTGTCTGCCCAGGATGCATTTGACTGACTGATGGATAAGGACTCACCACAGTCATCGCCCAGAGTTAGCGATACCCACCCCTGAGAGAGAAAAGTGGTCGACGTTACTCGCACCAACCCTGCAATCCTAGATACGGCAGCAAGTCTGCGAACCTGGACAGACTGTCTGCCCAGGATGCATTTGACTGACTGACGGAGCTCAGACACCTGACAAGAATGGCAGCAAGTCCGAGAAACTACAGTCTTCCCCCGAACACAACACACCCTTAAAATGAATGTATACAAGACTATTACAAGTATTTCCGGCCAGATACGGCCAAAACGAGGGTGCGCTGTGTTCGGGGGAAGACGGTAGTCTGACACAGTCATAAAACCCACTCTACGCACCCACTCACCCATGGACACCCAATGGCATGACCTCTAGCACGGTCCCGGCATGTGCTTTCCTTTCCCCGTACACAGACAAGAATAATAATTAAATAAACCACATTTAGTGCTGTAAATAGCATGAAGATTCTTTGAAGAAATGAATAAAATTTATATTACTATTTTTTTTTTTTTTATTATTTTTTTTATATACCAAGAAATCACTTTATTAAAACCAAAGGAAAAGGAGGCCGGGAATTTCTCAGCAAACAACCCGGAAAAGAAGAAAGACAGTCCTCTCTCTTTTTCTGAAGAATGAAAAGACAGAAGAAGATCTGAAAATGTAGGCTGGCTGTGGCTTCGCCTGCAGCAAAGACGGAGCAAGCATGAACTCTTTTTCTATAAAAAATGAAGGATTAGACGACGAAGCGGGCATGAAGTGGTATGATTTTGTGAAGGTATGGAATGGAACAAAGGCAATCTCGTTCACTTAAACCTGCACAGAACCTCCCTCCTCGTATGTCATCCCCTTCCTCCCCACACAACCTCCTCCTGCTCCTCTTCCTTCCCCCACAACCTCCTCCTGCTCCTCCTCTTCACCCTCTTCTTCTTCTCCTCCTCATCCTCCTCCTCCTCCTCCCCCACACACAACCTCCTCCTGCTCCTCTTCCTCCCCCCACAAACTCCTTCTGCTGCTCCTCTTCACGCTCTTCTTCTTCTCCTTCTTCTACTACTTCTTCTGCTCCTCCATTCTTACTTCCCCTTCTTCCATATTGTTGTCATCCTCTACAACCTCTTCCTTCCCCTCCTCCCATCTTCCTCCTGGTTTTCCGCGAAATCTATTGAGCTCGACCATGTGATCTTCATTGCAAGAGGTAGAGCCCTCGATGGGCTGGGGTCGCCCCAGCTTGACCAACCCCAAGGACTCTCCACATACTTGCACCTGAGCATCGCGCAGACAGACTTTCTCATTCCCTCCCTCCCCAAACAACCTCTTTCTCTTCCTCATCCTGCTCCTCCTTCCCCTTCTTCTTCCTCCTCCTCTTCTTCTTCTTCTTCTTCTCCATTCTTATTTTCCCCTCTTCGATATTGTTGCCGTCCTTAGACGCTTCCTTTTATTTTCTTTCTTTGTTACAGCATCTGCCCCTCCTGGCCCTCTCCAACCAATGATCGGTGCCTTCGTCCTTTTATTTTCCTACCCCCTTGTCAAAATGACCTACCTCAAAGCCCACCGACAACCCGCAGTTTCCAAATTATGTCACGGTCCTCCCCCCTACACCGCCCCCCCCCCCCCCCCCCCCCCCCCCCCCCCCCCCCCCCCCCCCCCCCCCCCCCCCCCCCCCGCCTCTTCCTCAGTGTCACAGCTTCGCACCCCAGGCGCGCCTTCTCTGTGTGCCTCCTCATCGTCATTCCTCCCTCCCACGCATCTCCCCACGTACTGCTTTCCCCAACCACCCCACCCCTGCATGGCCGCAGTGTCCGTACACTCACTCTCTCACACACACACAACACCACACACGGCTGTCTCTCGCATACATGCTCTTGATTCAGCACATTACCCTCTACCACAAAGGGGGGAGAGTCCTCTCCCCCAACGGCCACCCACTGCTGGTACGATTTCCACCCACGTTACAAGGCTAAGCACGGATCGGTACTTCCACAGCCTCAGATCCCTCCGCATGACAGCACACAGATTTGAACCGGCACCCTTGGGCTCAAGAATGACACAGACCCCTGTGCAAGGATCACACGCACACACAATCCAAAAATGGTCCACTTATTGAAAAAACGGAAAACAAGAACACAGAAAAAAAGGAAATGAAGAAAAAAAAACGGCAGCTTTCGCAAGTGCACTTGCCTGGCCATTCATGCTCTCATCTGTGTTCGCAGCAAAGACGACATGCGCGTTCGCATCGTCCACAACATTGTAAATAACCTCCGAAACGGCGGTCACCTGCCCACATGCAGAAATCCAGAGAGAAACTCGCGGACAATTAGCGGAAAATTCGCACTAATAATTTAGAACGTAAAATTGATTAGTTTCACGATATTAACCAGAGAAAAATGTGCAGAAGAAAGAAAGAAATTGTTTTGCAGTCTTTGTAAAGGGAAAGTTTTCAAGCTTCGACACATCTCAAACGTGAAAGACAAAGCTGGAGGAACCCTGACACCTACACTCGATACATGAGGCACCTGTGTGGCCTCGATCCACTGCACAGCTTTCTCCATGTATCTAGACCTGCTTCTGGTCCAGATCATACTTGCAAGCGGACGCCGTCCGGGCGGTTCCGCACGTGTGGCAGACCGCCGGACCGGACCCGCGCGGCGCACGAATGTGCGCCCGACGACCAGTTACGCCCCMCCCCAAAAAAAAAAAAAAAAAAAAAGGCTGTCCGGTGTCCGTCTGGTCCGGGGGGAGGGTGCCGCACACGGCAAAGCGGACCGGACCGGACGCCCGTCCGGTCCATCTGCTTGCAAGTATGGTCCGGATACATTCAGAATGGTGGATCATTCCAAATGTGTCTCGTCAGAAATGCAGTCCAGGTACATGTAGATTGCTGTACAGTGAAGCCCAGCCCATACTTCTGTTGGCTGCTGTGCAGGGTGCAGCAGAGAAAAGACTAGCTTAGAATAGCGCCCACAAAACAAGAAGAACGGAAAATTGCAAAAAAATTAAGAAATTACTAAATTAGCTAGGCCGTTTTCCTGAGCACCCGGGCACCCTAGTTGTGCCCGGAAACACGCCCGGGTGACCGGCCGGGCATGACCCCCGGGCAGGGTCCCGGGCAGCCCCAGCACAAGAAACAAAAATAAAAAAAAATGAAAAAAATCCTAGTCTGATTTCCCGGGCGCCCAGGCCCCCAGACCACACCTGGAATGGCGCCCGGTTGCCCAGCCAGGCATGAGGCCCGGGCAAGCCCCCGGGCGCGCTCCACGGAATTCTTTTTTTTTAAGATGCACGGCGGGCGTGGGGCACGGCGAGGGGTCGGGGGGGGCTCCAGACCAAGAAAACAAATTTCCGCAGAGGCCCTACCGGTCCCGTGCAGATGAAGAAGAAAGGGCGATTTCAAGCCCTCTATCTGCAAGATCGAGGGCTTGAAATCGCCTTTTTCCTGTTTCCCCAAGGATCCCCGCGTGATTTCGCGTGGGCATTGCACTTCGAATGCCGGGACGAAATCGCGTGGGGATCCTTGGGCAACGGACCCCACCCTCCTCCCAGCATTCGACCACGACTGCTGCCCGCTGCCCTGCACCTGTTGTTGGTTCGAATCCAACCTAAACTAGGGAGCTGTTCTGTGTTCAAATATACGGTCGAATGACACTCTATTCTAACTTACTTAGATTAGAGACGTCGTACAAGCGCTTTGTTGCTTGCCTCTCTACTCTACTTGTGAAGCAGCCCGTCGATCGCTGCCTGTCGCCCCGCACCCGTCGATCGCTGCCTGTCGCCCCATGCCCGCTGCAAGCCGCCATCACCAGGTAAGATTGTGCGTGTGTGTGTGTGTGTGTGTGTGTGTGTGTGTGTGTGTGTGTGTGTGTGTGTGTGTGCGTGTTGCACCCTCGTCCTCCTCCTCTTGGTACTCCCCACTGTCGATTGTGGCACCTTGGTACTCCGCACGAAGGGAAAGTTGAAAAAAAAAAAAGGTAAGACTATGCGACGCGTGAAGGGCGACAGGGGGAGAGAGAGAGAGCATCCCTACCTCCATCGCCTCCTCCCTCCGTCCATCGCTTCCCTCCAGGCTCCACCCCGATCTTTCTCCTACATGCGAAGTGCGATGCGCGAAGGGCAACACGGAGAGAGAGAGCATCCCTACCTCCATCGCCTCCTTCCTCCTTCCATCGCTTCTCTCCAGGCTCCACCCCGATCTTTCTCCTACACGCGAAGTGCGACGCGCGAAGGGCAACAGGGAGAGAGAGAGAGCATCCCTACCTCCATCACCTCCTCCCTCCATCCATCGCTTCCCTCCAGGCTCCACCCCGATCTTTCTCCTCCTCCTCCTGTACCTCTTCTTCTTCTTCTTCTTCTTCTTCGTTCTTATCTCCATCCACCCCGGTCTCTCTCCATCCATCCCAATCTTCTACTCTTCATCCTCTTCCTCCTCCTCTTCCTCCTCCTCATCTTCTTCTTCTTTCACTTCTTCTTATACATCCCGATCTTTCTCCTCCACCCCCATCTTTCGCCATCCACCCCGATTTTTCTCCTCCTCCTCCTCCTCCTCCTCCTCCTCTCCTTCTTCTTCTTCTTCTTCTCCTCTCCATCCATCCCCATCTTTCTCCATCCAGCCCGATTTATCTCCTCCTCCTCCTCCTCTTCTCCTCCTCGCCTCCGTCCCCATCTTTCTCCATCCACCCCATTTTTTCTCCTCCTCCTCCTCCTCCGCCTCCTCCCTCCTCTTCTTCTTCTTCACATCTAATTGTCCTCCACCTCCTCTGCTGTGTGCTGTGTGCAGCGTGTGCAGTGTTCACTGTGTGTGCTGCATTGCTGCAGACCCCCCCCCCCCCCCCCCCCCCCCCCTCCCTTGGCCCCCCTTCCCCCCCAAAACTGACAACCACAAAAAATATGAAAGATCCCGGATTTGGGCCCTTAGGCAGGGTGCAGAACATCTGTGAACACAAAAAAAAAAAAAAAAAATTACTGTTTTCTTTTACACGCCAGGCTGACCTGGGCGCCGGGCGTGGAAATCTTCCTCGAAAAAATCCAACAAAATTTGGAAGAAAAAAATTGCTGTGTACAATTGCAATACAAACAACTTTTGGCTGAGGGTCACATCAGAATTCCTCACGGAACTGAAGATAAAAAAGAAAATTACTGAATCACACCAAGGCACCCCCCTTTAAATCCCCTTAGCCCCTTTTAAAAAAAAATTATMCCCCCCCCCCCGCCCTCCCTTTGACAGCCAACACTCAAAAGAAGAAAAGAGCCTGGATTTGGGCTCTTCTCAGAGAGCGCGGAAAACCCCCACCGCCATTTTTTCTCTTTTTTTCTCTTTTTTTTCGCATGCCCAGGTGAATGACCGGTCATGAAAATCTTCCTCGGAAATCAGTGTGGTAGTGCTCACCGCACATGCAAATGCACACATGGCATGCGCTTCAAGTGTGTAACCCCCGCTCTTTTTTAACCACCTTCACCGTTCAGGCTGGAGGGCAAACGACTGGTGGCACCAGCCAAAACAAAATAAAAAAGGTTGCGCTGGCACTTCAGCAAGAAAAGCTTGGCGCGCATTGCTACTCCGCCTCGGCAAAAAGAGGCTCGATGGTGATGGTGGTTTAAAGGCTCCTTTGAAGTCCTTTCTATTGGTGGGGAAACTCTCTCTACTTCTTATATTGGCTTCACCATCGCTCTGTCGAGTCTGCTTCCAGTGTGTTTAGTACACTGTTTACCATATGCATGCTGCTAACGGGGTTCATGTTGGCTACGAACGGAGTCTCTCCTGTGCGCCTGGTAGCATATTAACTATTATCAAGTCCCAACTCTTAGGGATGTTTCATTCGCAGTTAGGTGTGCGTAGTACTGTGCACCATTCAGCCATCATACAGGTACACGTTATCAATTTAGAGTTAGGCCCAATTAGCCCCGTTTACGGTCGAGCCAAGCATGGCTCAACGACTTCAGCATCTCTGCGCATGTTTCTTCCGGTTCACTTACAGGAGCAACCCCGAAAAGAGGTGCAAAAGGTGCGGCGGGAAGGGAGCAGGATGTGGTTAAGAACAGGGCAGTCGTGCCAGACTATGATGCAGGGGAGTCTGCCCAGGGAGAGACGCAGGTAAAGTGAGGGGCACCTTATTTTGTTTTCTTTAGGAGGGAAACTAAGAGAACATACTAAAATTATTAAAAATAGTAACAAAGAAAGCGGGAGGAAGGAACAAGGGCAGGACTCACTGTCGGCTGCTTGTGCGCATCATCCAAAGCCGAGGGAGGGACGGGAGGAAGAGGTGGTGGCAAAGGCAGATGCACACACACACACACACACACACACACACAGACACACAGAGAGAGAGAGAGGTAAGACGCACCTCATAGAGCGACATTGAGCTATCGCCAGTCACACTGTAAACAACTGCCTGCCACAGCCCACAGAAACATCAACCACCATTTAGAAGAGGCTAATTTGAAACTTCTGAGACTTTGCTTTCAAGTTTCGATACGATTCGACGTTTCAGGTCGGTGATCCGCATCTCAGCTCTGACGCCATTGCCTGGCTGTGTACACCAGACTGCTGGAACCCATGAAATGTGAGCAACAATGCAGAAGGGTTCGGTTGGCGGCCCTTGACGCACTCGTATCAAAGGACAGAAACTCTCAGCTTGTCAAGGAGATCAACCCTTTTTTCCCATCTGTTGTTTTTCGTTTCTTGGGATATTAACTACCTCTCCCTCACTCAGCATAGCTGCATGCCGTAGCCCACATTGAGCAAACTCCCTAAAAAAATCACCACCCAAAATAGAAGAACTCGCAGCTTGTTGAGAAGGTGAACTTCTTTTTTTCTGTTTTCTGTTTCCTGTTTTAGGAGATCAACTTCTACCCTCTCACTCAGCACAGCTGCATGCCATCACCCACACTCTGTAGAAAAATCAGCACCCATTTAGAAGAACAATTGTTTCAATCAACAGACTCTTTCGTTCGACAAAAATATCAAATGCTCAATCAGTGAATGCACCATTCAGCAACTGAGCTACCATCTTGACCCCATTCGAGCGTACGCCGTACAGTATTATTTCTGTATCTAGACTGAAAACAATGCCCCAAATACAGCTATAATAGCCACATAGCAAACACGGTAATCCATCAGGAGTCAGGACCGAACGCTTGCGGGCAGAATAGTACAGGATTCACACAACTCTGGAAACTCCAGCCTTGGAACCGGATGAAGGCCAATCTTTGTGAAGTACTTGGCTCCAGGAGGCAATCAAGGAGCTTGGAAATCCTCCGTCTTCACACGAATACAACGCATGGTCATTATTCCTGTATCTAGACTAAGTCGTCCCCAATACAGCTATAATAACCGTCCACACGTTTCATTTGGTGATAGGCATGGCATAGTTGTTCTTGTTGATTATGTGCTTCAAGGCGTCGTAGTCCAGAGCTAGTAGGCAGGGAGAGAAAGGGGACTGTATTCGGCCTTGGGAAACACCGTCATTGGGACGGAGTGGAACACGCAAGGAGTTGGGAAGACGTCCTTGAACGCCTATAGACGGGAGGTAATTGCTGAATCGAAGCTGATCCGGCTCTGTCCAGAGGGGGAAGATCGTCAGCATGCGCTCGAGGTCCATACGCTACCAGAAGCACGCAGAAGCAGCGTGCACTTGAACATGCGGAGGAAATGATGTGGAGACGCAACGGTAATGGTGGAATTGGCACTCTTCGTTCAGACGTATTTTAATGCGGTTATAGGAGGGTGGGGCCCGGTGGGCTGAGGCGAAAGGCAGCTGGAAGGAATGGCATTGGGCGGTCAACCCATGGGGCTCCCAGTACGGCGCTGCACATGATGTGCATGACGTCCAACAAGGCTGACAGAAGGGTAAGGGTGGAATTGGTGGCCTTCGTTCAGAGTGATTTCAATGGGGTTATAGGACGGTGGGCTGAGACGAAAGGCAGCTGGAAGGAATGGCATCTTAGTCAACCCACAGGACTTCTACAGTCCTCACTCTCATACAACGCCACCTTCGCCAAGTCGTTAACACTGCATGTAGACCTAACCAGGCGTCAGGGTGGTTTGGCGCCTACCGCCGACGCCGACCGTAGGCAGTAGCTGTGCCCACCAGTCGGGCCGACCCGTAGGCGGACCCGTCGGCGGTCGGCAGACTGCCTTGAATTCCCCCCCCCCCCCCCTCTGATTACATGGTTATGCGCGGCTTGAGGAGAGCAGCTCAAACCCGCAATAATTTTTTTTGGGGTGGTGGGAGTTAAAGGAGGAGGTATAGGGGGGTTATAGGGGGTTGTAGGGGGTTAAGGGGGGATATGAGGGTGTTAGGGGGCGGTATGGGGATGTTGGGGGGGTGTATGGGGGTGTTGGGGGGGGCCATGGGGGTGTGGATGGGATTATGTGGGGTTCTGGACCCAAGAAAAATAAAAATAAAAAAAATGGTCACCGACCAGTCGGCCCCTACCGTTGGCTGGTCGGCAGCCAACGGGTCCAGGGCCGCCAACCGTCGACGTGACTACACTGCCAGGCGTTCTATTAGGGTGTACAGCTATAATAACCAGCTGTATCAGGCGTTCTATTCGGGTGTACAGCTATAATAACCAGGCATTCTATTCGGGTGAAGACAGACAGCAGTACATCACTTCTTCGTATGATGTGCATCGTGTCGAAGAAGACTCAGTTGCAGAGACATCCAACAGTGGTCATCGTCCTTGCAGACAGTGCAATTCATCACCGCCACATTCTTTGTTCTTATTTTTTTCCAAGACAGCTCCAACCTATTCCTTGGTTCCCCTAAGCGGCCGGTAATGAAGGAATCAGTTCTACTTAATTTAAGCCCGACAACCCTCAGTGGGCGCGAGTATGAGGTTTCCACAACTTTCCAGTACTTCTTACCATCTGGCAGGGACTGGAAGTTCACAGCAGATGCACCTCAGCACACCCAGATGAACCTGAGCTTAAGGCTCGGAGGAGCTGGCTGCGGCAGTGGGTCATGTTGTTGAGCACCAAGCTCGTCCATTTGATCAGCTCGGACCTGCTCGGCATTGGGTTCCAAATATACTCTCATTCTATGCTTTGCGGATACATGCCATTTGCACTCTTCCCGTCTCCTCCAGCTGTGCAGCTCATGCAGTTTCTGCGGCTCGTACATTTATGCTAACTGCCAGGGTGTAGCACATCCTTTTTTCCATATATAGATGATATACCCTGTGTCGTAAACCACCACTACCTCCGAGTTTCTTATATATACGTGATTAGTTCTGGGATGTGCTCGAGGATGTGGCGCAAGTGGCACTGGGTGTATCTGTTTTTTTTTTTCAATCAACTGACTAAGGGGCCCTCGAGGTCAGGAGGTCGGCCAGCAGACAAGTGGTTGGCCCTAAGAATCCGCTTTTGGAGAGCAAATTCGACATCATGGGCGTATCTCGCAGCCATCGTGGACTAGATTAGCTCCGGGAATTATTTCACGTAAATGTGTGCATGAACCAATGCAAACAGGATTAAAAGCGGTGGATAGCCTTGTTCCAATAGGTCGTGGTCAACGAGAACTTATTATTGGAGATAGACAAACAGGTAAGACAGCTATAGCTATTGATACTATATTGAATCAGAAGCCCTTCTGCTTTTCTTTCCTTTTTTAAACCACCGGTACATTTCCCAGCCATTTAAGAAAAATGAACCCTCCCGTTGTTGTTGTTGTTGTTGTTGTTGTTGTTGTTGTTGTTGTTGTTGTTTTAACCCTCCCGTTTCTTTCTGATTGTTCAACTGTAGGAAGTTTCAGGGGGAGGCAAACATACCTTTGCATCTTGCAGACTCTTCTGGAGAAGCGGTGAAGAGACGGCGGCCTTCGCAGCTGTTCGTGCCCTGTCCTGACCTGTAGTCAGCGGAGGATGCCAATCACAAAGGACATTCAGGAGACCACGAAACTAACAGAAAAGAACCATCTTGCTTTCACCATATGGTAAACAATTGCGAGGTTAAAACAATATGGCATCGGGGGAGGGGGAGGAGGGGGGAGACAGAGACAGAGAGAAGGNNAGAGAGAGAGAGAGAGAGAGAGAGAGAGAGAGAGAGAGAGAGAGAGAGAGAGACAGAGAGAGAGACAGAGAGAGAGACCCTGATCCACAAACCCTAAGCAGTGTCTAGCGGTTTTGGATTTGGTAATCTTCCCTTTTTTACTTGGTTCGATCCTCAACTGACGACCGACTGTTGGCTGAGAAGAGCAAGAGAGACAGAAAGAAAGAGAGATTTTCAAGAATAACAAGAGAGAGAAGGGGGAAGACACACACAGAGAGAGAGAGAGAGAGAGAGACAGACAGAGAGAAAGAGAGAGAGAGAGACAGAGAGAGAGAGAGGCAGAGAAAGAAATTTCTGAAAATAACAAGACAGAGAGAGCGAGAAAGGTCTTCTGCTGTTCCTTACCTTGGGCCTTGTACGATTCCATGCTGACATTCCAATAGTCAGAGCAGACCTAGCGTCTGATCTACCCCCAGAATCGCGTAGTTCAAAGCGCCGCTGTGACTCGACACCCCTCCCCCAAACTCACCTGACGACCTCCCACTAAACCACCAGTCCACTTCTCCATCTATGATGTTCCAACACGGCAGTTCACATGTCTCAAAATCGCAGTTCAGGTCTACCAGACTAAAAGAGATGGCATCGGCTGTCAATTTTGCGCCCACGCTAGTTCTTTTTATTTGGTGCGTGGCAGGAATCCACCTTGAGAAAAACATGGCACCCCCTGGCAATTTCCTGCCCACATGCGCCCACACTACTGTAGTCTTTTTATTCGGCGCTGGGCAGACATATCACATAGCTGCGCTATTATATAGGAATAATAATTATGCAGAGAAATCATATATGTTGTATGTAAAACCACGATCCCTAATTCCTGAGCCCTAATCCCTAAATCCTGAGTCCTAGACACTAAACCCTAAACCCCGATCCGAGTTTTGCTGATTTTCCTTCTTCTCCGCAGCTGGATCCTCAGCCGGCTACCGTCTTTCCCCAAGGACAACGCACCCTCAATATGACTGTATTCAACTAGAGAGCCTGAATATGACTGTATCGGACCGAAAGATAGTTTGACCAGAGAGCCTGAATATGACTGTATTGGACCGAAAGATAGTTTGTGTACATTCATGATCGTGGTGCGTTGTGATACTTGGTGTACATTCATGATCGGGGTGCATTGTGTTCGGCGGACGACGGTTGTGTCTGTGTGCCAAGCAGCTTGCTATCTGGTAACGCAGTGATCCCTGCGGAAAGAAAAGCTTTCGGAGAAGAAAAAGTTTTCGGTCCGAAAAATCTTTTTCATCTTGACCATCTCTAACTCCGTCATCACTTCTCCTCCATTTCTTTGTTTCTTCATTTCTTGCCAACTTGCACCTCTCCCTAACCCATGGTTAGCTTTGCACCGCAGAGTTCTGGTGGAAGAATGAAGCCATACCTGCCCCTGACTGGGCGGGGTAATGCCCGTCTGACACCGCTAGTGCTAGTGCCAAGCACTGTGGCCAGTCGCTGCACGTCCCCTTCCCCTCCCCCCCCCCACACTTTCGTTGACACCGCCAGTGCTAGTGCCAAGCACTGTGGCCAGTCGCTGCACCTCCCCTTCCCCTACACCCCCCCCCAAATCGCTGTCGCATCACACCCAACAATATTGGCCAAGTTCTGCTATCGACTTCCCCCGAATAGAACGTACTACGGTCATTATAGCTGTATGCATTTGGGACGACTTTCAATCTATATACAGGGATAATGGCCGTACATTCAGGTACTGCCACCCCTAAGAGTAAAGATTTACAAGCAACTCCAGGTGTATAAACCATCAGACACATTCACAACTATCCTTGCAAGTTCAGTTGGCACAACCATGACCATTAAATACATTATTACCATCTGCAGCATTAAGAGTTGAAGACTTTATGGAACACATCCAGTCGTGAAAAAAACATGAGATGGATCAACAATAGTCCTTGTGATTTTGGTCGTGAAAACACTTGCATTGCCAATAAGAATCAGGTGAGTAGGAACCGCCAGTACACGGCCCTAGCCTTGGGGAATTTTTCTTTTTTTTTTAACCATGGTGCCTCATCTATTTTGGGGGGCAACTGTCTGGTTACTTATCACCCGCAAGCATGCATCAGAGTTCAAGATAGGAAGGAAACAGTCAGCACAACCGCATACCCCTGTCGTCCTAGAAACAATACAGGGGGTGCTTGGGGGGGGGAGGAGGGGCTTGTGGAAATTTGTTCATTGCCTACCCCAAGCTTTCCAGGGCTCGGTGCTGCCAGACCACAATGGGTTGCGGCGTCGGCCAAGAAAGAAAAGAAGTGCGCTGCTGACGGTTCAGAAAAGCTTGGCGCCCAGTGCGGCTCCTCCAGGCCCGGGTGTAACCGGTGGTTTAATGAAGTGAATTTGGGCGTGAAAACCATTGTAGAATCTTCTTAGTATAAATTAATTAACAGTAATGTAGATCTCTTCCCATTCCTGAACCTGGAGCATACCAAGGCATAGGACTTGGACCAAAAAGGGACCCGGGGATCTCGTTTTAATCTGTGTGCGTAGGCAAAAGAAAAAAAACTTCCATTAACAATAATCCTTCTGTGATATCCCTGCCTGTTGTAGGCACACCCCGTTTGATCTTAAAAAAAGAAAAAAAAAAGAAAAAGAAAAAAAAAGCACATCACCTTATCCCTCCCTGTCGTAGACACACCCAGTTCGATGTTAATTTGTTAAACCACTACCGTCTTCACCCAAATAGAACGCCCGGTCATTATAGCTGTATTTGGTGCAATTTTCAGTCTACATAGTGCAATTTTCAGTCTACATACAGCAATAATGACTGGGCGATCTATTCGGGTGAAGACGGTAGTACCTTTGCCGAGTGGGAAAACGGCAGGCCTCGGGTGGGCCTCCGACCTTTTAGGAGGCCGAAACGAAACGACGGCTGCCGATCAGATTTATCAATGGCAGCCATTATCGGGCCGGACCTTCGATCGTTCAGGAGTTCGCGAAAACTGCAAATAGGGGAAAACTGCCAGTTTTCCCTATTTTCCCAACACTGGTGGAGGTACTGGTGGTTCAAAAAAAAAAAAAAAAAAGTGAACAAAAAAAAGATATTATTTTTTTTGTAGGCTAATGCAACAAAAATGCTAAGAATGAAAAATAATGACCTATTTCAACATACATGTGCTACGGCGCTTGCCATGCCATTTGCGCAGCACTAAGAGACGGCAAAACAAAAGTTGCTTTGCTTGTAGTCTCTGAGGCTCCTCTTCGATCAAACTATGGCAAGCCTGCTGATTGACCAATGAATTTGGAACTAAGGAAGACAAAAAGCGAAGCCCAAATGGATTGCATACCTTCTGCTGTCCCAATCCCAAGCAGAGCATGCCCAGAGTCGGCAAGGAGCTCCTTTAAAGCAGTGAAGTCCACGTTGACTAAGCCAGGCATCTGTTTCATACAGGCCAGAGGAGGGACAAACCGGTTCTTCTTAACAATAAGCCAATGCTGAACCCCAGGACAGTAAATCGTGAATTGCGTTCAAATTGACGATTCACAGATACAATCAACGGACGATTGAAAGACGGGATCGACATTGCAACCATACTTGCCACAGTTGCCAGGGACTAGTAGATAGATAGAAACTAGACAAAGCAAACACCGGATAGCGAAAATAGGAAGGTCAAAGGGCGATCTAAGATTATTCTTCAGCTATGGCCTATCGCCCCAACTCCCCCTCACATAGGGTCATCGAGATGGAACGAATCTATCATCGCTATCTATGAAGCGAAAACCAATCCTTCTGTAATGCTACCCGCCGGACAGCAGGAGGGAGCACCCTCCCTGAGACATGGAAGCCGGCCCAGGCAGAGCTGGGCCACGTCTCGTGATGTGAGGACCGTTGACGCACATAATTTTTTCAAGTCGCATGGAGGAGACCTCTGCAGTGGCAGCATGTCCTGAAAACTCTGATTTGCGAGTAACATCCTAACGCCGGCCCCGTGCTAATCTTGTTTGCATAATCCCAGTTCCGTACCACCAGTACATCTGAGACACTTCTTGTTTTTGTCAGCACAGAGTCCGCCTGTCACCTGTGCGCCAAGCTTTTGCCTAAACGCCAGCGCAGCAGTTCTTTTTTGTTTCGTATTGGCTGGCACCGCCTGCCATTTTGGTCCAGTAGCACTGTTCACCCGAAATCTGCCGATGGGCTCAATTCAATTCTCAAGTCTGCCCGGGTGATGTACTGGCGGATTAACAGACATCCCACAAGGCCCGAAAATCAGTCAGCTGTGTGGAGAGAGGGGAAGAGAAATAGAGAGGGTGGGTACGAGGCTGACTTGTCTCCCACAGAATCGTCCGAGTGACCTGGGAGGGGAGTAGAGCATGGCATGGAAGTCGAGGAGGGCACCTGGGTTCGGGATCCAATTTGGGAGGGTGGAGGAAGGGTAGGGAGACACACACACACACACACACACACACACACACAGAGAGGAGACACACACACACACACACACACACACACACAGACAGAGAGAGAGAGAGAGAGAGGAGACGCACACACACACACA